GAATGAATGAACAGAGGTGGAGCCTGGAGAGGTAAGTGCCAGGAACTGCAAAGGATCAATTTTTTCGGAGCAGGTGAAGACCAGGCAGGGAGAAGCCCAGCTGTGAAGGACCCAGTGTGCCCAGCCAGGGAACCTGGACTCTGGCCCCTGAGCACAGAGCACAGGGAGTGGGGTGCATTCCCCAGGCTCCTCGCAGCTGAGTGGAGGGGCTGAGGGTGCACATCAGAGAGCACCGAGGGGCCAGGTGGACGCTGCTCAAGGCCTGAACCACCATGGCAGGAGGGCTCTAGGCCGTCCACAAGAGCGAGGACCCGTGAGCAGTTCCAGACCCTGCTTTCTCCCTCCAGGCTAATTCCCTGAATATCACACAGGTGAATGGAGGATGGGCACTCTGCTCTGTTGTAGCCCAGCTCCCTGATCCTGGGTTGATGATTATCAAACGTCCAGGAGCCAGCCAATGAGGTGGCCATCTGGGACTTGTTCTCCAGAGGTGGAGCAGGCCCTGGACAGTCTCTCCTGGATGCTGGTAGGAGGCTGAGGGCAGTGGCCGAGCTGAGGACACCTTAAACACTCAAGGCTTTTGTGGGAGCAGGTGAGAGGACATGGGTGGAAGGACAGTGCTCTGACTGTGGCCTGGAGCCCCGGATCCTCCTCTGGCTCTCAAGATGGGGCCATTTTTGGTGTTTGGCCCTTATGCCACCACAGCAGCCTAAAACTTTGCAATCAAGGGGGCAGGAGCCTTTGCTGAAACTTGTGCTTGGACACAGGAGATTCCTGCAAGGGACGGTCCCCAGGAGAGGGAACACAGGGAGGGGACATCTGGCCTGTCTGCTGAAGGGAGGTGCCCTCCCATTGTACCAAAGAGATGAGAGAACCAGTAGAGGAAGGAGGGTGAAGGGGGGCTTTGTATATGTTATGTCAGTACAAACTCAAAACAATCCTAGAATGCAGATTTTTATCTTACCCTGTTCTACAGCTGAAGACACAGAGCTAGGAGAGGTTAAGTGACATGCCCAAGGTCACACAGCTTGAGAGGGAGGCAGCCAGGCTGAAATGCTGGTCTTTCTGACCCTATTCCTCCCAGTGTCTCTGGCCTACTTCCTCTCAGGCAAAGCAGAAAGACATGCCCTGGAGCAGAGTCCCCAGCTCCCTGAGAGGTGGGAGAGATGGCGGCACTCACATGGCTTCCTGTGTCTTCCCCAGGGCTGCCGGGAAGGCGTGCAGGGACACCTAGCTCTCTCTCTGGTGGACTTGGAGACTCAGACAAGAAGGCTCCCATGGCTCCTTATCACATCCGCAAATACCAGGAGAGCGACCGCAAAACGGTCCTGGCCTTGTTCTCCCAGGGGATGGCCGAGCACGTCCCCACCACCTTCCTCCACACCCTCAAGCTGCCCCGAACCTTCGTGCTCTTGCTTGGAGGGCCCCTCGCCCTATTCCTGGTCTCTGGCTCCTGGCTCCTGGCCCTCATGGCCAGCCTCACCCTCCTCGCTGCCCTGTGGTTTCTGGCCAAATACTGCTGGACCCTGTTCCTAGTCGTGTCTTTGCAGACTGACTTGTCTGACATCACCAAATCCTACTTCAGTGAGCGTGGCTCCTACTTCTGGGTGGTTGAGGCCGAGGGGCAGGTGGTGGGCATGGTGGGAGCTCTGCGCATTAAGGAGCCCACCCTGGAGAAGGGGCAGTTGGAGCTGCTTCGCCTCAGTGTGGCCTTGGAGCACCGTGGTCAGGGGATAGCAAAAGCCCTGGTCAGGACTGTCCTCCAGTTTGCAAGGGATCAGGGCTACAGTGAAGTTGTCCTCACCACCACCATCCTGCAGTCTTCTGCCCTGGCCCTCTACCAGAGCATGGGCTTCCAGAAGACGCAACAGTTCTTCTTCTCCATGTGGTGCAGGCTAACGGCTGCCCCTTCGATTCGTTTAACCTACCTCCTCCCCTCTGCTCAGGTCTCTCAGGCACCGGGACAGGGAGGGGGCCTCTGATGTGTCTCCTGGTGGACTAGTCAGGGGAGGATCAGCTCTGCTGCAGGAACAGGCCAACCCTGAAATCTCACTGTGACAGCACAGGGGTCGCTTACTGCTTGTTCGTATCGGAACCCAGCATGGTTGGGCGTGGGGTAGCTCTGCTCTAATCAGTCTTTTTTGGGGTGCCGGTGTTTCATTTGTCAAGTGCCATGAGAATGTTGCCTAAAGAATCCCCACAACTTCATAATAAACGTGTCTTTAGCTCCTGAGTCTGTGGGTCAGCACTTTGGCTGGGCTCGGCTGGCAGCTCTTTTGGTCTCAGATAGCCTGTCCTCATGTCCTGGGTGGGCTGGCATGACACGGTGACTCAACTCTGGTTTCCAGCAGGCCAGCTCAGGTGTGGTTTAGAGGTAATGGCAGAGAAGGCAGAGCCACGCAGACGCAAGCCAATTCTGTTTCAAGCTTCTGCTGGTGTCACCTCTGCTGACAACCCAGACCCCAGGGGAGAGAAATGGACCCGCTGCTTTAGTGTGATGAGCTGAAAGCCACGTGGCAGAGGGGCGCGGAGGAGAAGGATGCCATCAATCCGCTATGGCCCCAAGGTCTCTGCTGCTGAAGGGGAAGAAGGCATCTGGGGACAGAGTGTGGGATGTTGACAGGGGCTGGACCGAGAAGAGACGCAACCCACATCCCACTGGCCAGACCCCAGTCTCGCGGCCCCAACATGTCTGAAGGGAGGCCAGGAAGGTGCGTGTCCAGGGAGAGGAAACGGGATTGGCAAGTTTCCCAGATCTGCCACACATGGGACCCCACCTCTGTCCCCAAATGCTCAGAGATGAGATGTATACAGTTGCCTCAAGCCTGGTCACTGGGCCCTGAAGCCTCTGACACAGTGGCCAGGTGTGCCGGGTAGGCAGCACCGTGCACCCTTTCCCATCTGGGGTGTCACCAGCACCTGGTGAGCCCCGATATAGTCTGGAGCCTCTCACCAGGTCCTCCAGCCCAGAGGCTGAGTCCCAGGATCTGGTGAGTCCCCTGATGACCCAGGAAGTCCAGGTGCCCTTTCAGTCTGGTTTGTGTGACACAAACATTGTCCCCTGCTCATAGCTTATCTCCTCTGAAGGGTCAGCCAGGCCACAGACCAGGCCCAATCCTGCCAACTGACGCTGTTCCAGGCACATTTCACCTGAATGGGGACCTGTCACCACGTCATGAGATGGCTCCAAACATTCGTGTTTTATTGCCCAAGACCACGGGCCTCAACTCTGTCCTCTCCATTTTGCTTTCTTTCTCCTTGGCCTTGGGGGTCCCCCACAGTCCCCTCTGCCAGGCCATCTACGTCCTCCAGGCCTGCTGCCTCTGCACCTTCCCCTCAGGCTTCTCAGAAAACCCCTCCATCCAAATGACCTGTTCAGCTGCGCCCCTGCTTCTGTTTCAGTCAAGCTTCTGTTGCCTCCCTAGTTGTGGTCCCAGCGTGTATTGAATGGTGGGCCCTCAGGCCCGGGATCTCTGAGGGGACCAGGAAGACACAGGCAGCAGCCTCTGCTGCTCCCACCAGCTCTCCCGGCCCAGGGAGGCGGCCGCTCTGGAGGAGTTTCCCAGTGGGCACTGGCTCGTACTGGAGTTGAGAGGCCTACAGAGGTCCTGATGGTTGGATAAGCTTCTTAAATAACAACTGAATGGTTTTAGTAATCCCAACAGATGTGGAGCATGCCCTCCAGGGGGTTACAGGCCAGAGTGGGCTGAGAGACCAGGGACGGGCAAGCGCAGAGATGTTGTCATAGGTGTGGAGATGGGAGTAGTACTGGGCAACCGGAAGGACATCAAAAGGCCACCAACCCACTCACTGTTGGAGGGCTTCACAGAGGGGTCAGGACTTCTGTTCCTGAAAATTCACAACCAGGAATGCAGCTTGTCCATCCCCTGCTCCGATCCCTGCACTCACTGCCCAGCCACACTGAGCTTCTGGTTCTTTCAACAAACAGAAGCTCTGTTTCTGTTGAGGCCTTAGCCCATGTGTTCCCCCTGCCTAGAACATGCTCCTTCCACCTCTCCCACACCCAACCTCTGATTGTTCAGCTCCTCCCCTTTTCAGCTGAGTGGCAGGGATAAGTGTTTGGACAGGGAGGAAGCAGTTCATCCTATTTAGATTCTGGCCATTATTGCTATTTAGTCCCTTGCTACTCAAGTGTGGTCCCCAGACCAGCAAGCAGGACATTGCCTGGAAGCTTGTTAAGAAGAAGTGTGAATATGAAGCTTTTATGCCACATGAGTAATATTAGCACATTAGTGTTAATCCTGGACAGTTTCTTCTAAATGCAACGTAGTGGCCAGCCGCCCATGAGCCTCTGGCTTCTCCTCAGGCAGAGGAAGTCAGGGGTCCCCTCTGCTGGTCGGTGCTCCCCCTTGTCTGGTCGTCCCTCATGAGGGTGCTGGTGAGCTCTAACAGCTGGGGACAGAGGCCAGTTGCTCCCTGGCTGGTGACTCCTCGGCTCTTCTTCCCAGACCAAATCCACACTCACTGCCGAAGGAGTTTTAGGCAGGTCTTTCCTGAAGGATTCAGGTAAGGGGCCCCCAGCTGCACAAGGGAGTGCACCTGTGTTTGTGAATTGGAGGAGGGTGTTGGGTCAAGAGAGTGGGCTACAGGGAACAGGAAGTGAAACTGGAGCTTCAGACTCAGGCACCAGATGTGATAGACAAGAAATTTAACGAGAGATCAGAGGCCCAAATGTTGAAATTCCAAAGGAGGTTATCCAGACAGTTTAGGGGGATCCCGGGGTTTCGGGGAGGGGAAATGGGGAGTATTGGCTTCATGAGCAGAGATTTTCTTTTGGGGTGATGCAAACGTTTTGAGGCTTGATGTAGGTGGAGGTTGTACAACATGGTCAATGTACTAAATGCCACTGAATTATACACTTTGCACTGACTTATGTTATATGAAATTCAACTTTACAAAAATTAGAAAAAAAAAAGGAAGAGTTTAGATGGCTCTAATTCCTACAAGAGGATAAAAATATTGGCAAGAGCAAGGATGATGAGAAGTTTTTATTGGGACAGTTGCTGCCATGCCATGAGTCAGCTGTCACCACACAGACTGGGGGAGGGAGGTGCCACCTTTACCCCCAAGCCCCTGATAGGAGTCACCTTGAGGACACCTGTGTCCCCTTCTGCAGCGGAGCAAGAGCACTGACTCCTGAGGAATCTCAAAGTCACGGTCACCGCCTGAAGTCCTGGAACTTTGGCAGAGTTAGGATGTTGCTCTGTGTGTGTGTGTGTGTGTGTGTGTGTGTGTGTATGTTAGAGAGAGAGAATGGGAGGGGAGGGGAGGGGAGAAAGTGGTTTTGCTGCCCGGGGCTGTGGGCAGTGGGTCTTGCAGGCTTGTGGGAATGCAGGCAGAGAGGAGGCAGTGGATTCAGGGAACAGCAAAATGCAGATCTGTGATTTGTGCAGGGACCTCTTGGGCAAGTGTGAGAATTGACAGTTTCCAGAAAGTGGGCAGGGAGGAGGTTGAGGTCAGGATAATTTTAGAGGTCAGAGACGTGGACCCAGCAGTAAGAAAACCTAGAACGCTGACTCCAAACTTCCCTTCCCTCTTTTCTTCAGCTAATAAGTAATTTCTTCAATTTGAGAGTGAGCTTTTATGTACCAGCAAGAGGTCCTCCCTTCCCCTTGGCTTCTGCTTGGGTTTCACCAGCGTGTGTGGAGGGAGGAGGCTGGCAGGAGACTGGAGGGAGGAAGAGAGTGAGGCCCCCTCCCTGCGAGGTCCCCTGGGCTGGCTCCATCCCTAGACCTCGCAGGGCAGCCTGTCTCCTCAGCTCCTGGGTCAGGTTCCTGGTACGTCTCTCTCCTGCCTCGCCTCAGGCCTCTGGGCAATAACTCGCCGGGTCCTGTACCATCCCTTGCCCCCTGTGTCCACCCACACCTACTTAATTAGTCCCTTTGCTGATTCATAACTATAAAATCTCCTCGAGCTGTCCTGATCTGAGTGTTGGGACCTGATACCATCTCCCTTTCTCAGACAATTAGTTCACAGTTAGGTTACAGAATGTTTCTACCGAGTTGGAATCATTGTCTGGTAGGACTTCTGAACATCTTCCTGTCTGTCTACACTCTTTCCCCTTGAAGTGATTTACTGTTATTTTCCCTCACTCATCTCCTATCCATCATGAGTTCTCAGTGGAAGTCCAGGGCGCTGACCTGAGGCTGGGTTACGGGAACCCTGATGAGAGGTAAGGGGAGATGGTGTTCTTTCCAGGAGCTTCAGTTAAATGAGCCTGAGTTGACTTTTCTCCTCTTCCTGAGACTTCCAAAACAGACTGCCGCTTGATTGTCTACCTGCCTTCTCACTGCTGCATTTCTGAGCTGGGCAGGTCCAGGAGGGGAATGTTCTTCATAGATGCAAGTGTGGGATTCCATTGACATGCTCTTCTCAAACCCCACAGCTCTTGGAATAACAGTGGTTCCAAAAATAGAATCACCTATTATAATCAAGCTCCTGTGGGTAATAGAAAATGAATAAAATAGTTTATCAGGTGACTTATAGTTGTTGATGTTGCATCTAATGAACTGTCATATGTTTACAGTCACTTGTTAAGCAAGTAACAAATTAACAGCAATATAAAGACTTAATGAGAAGTGCAGAGACTTCAAGGGAGGAGCGGATACAAGGTCCATCTGGCTGCGAGAGGTCAGAAGTCTTGATGGAGAAGGCAGCACTAAACTGGATCTTGAAGAAAGAACAGAGCCTTAGTCACACATTGGAATTGGGTAAAGTATGGCCCGACCACTGGCGATAGATGGACGTGATGGGGTCTGGGGGGAAACCTCACACCCCACAAGACTGAGCTGGTTCTCCTTGCTTACGGTACTTGACACTGATTCATAATCCACCACACACCTGTCAGGACCTGCCTGTGGGTTCAACATGTGGTTCTGAAACAGTACACCACACAGGCCCGGGGTCAGAGCTGCCCAGGCTTGAGTTCCACCCTGCCACCTTCTGTGGGGGCTCGGGGCAGACAGCTCAGCTTTCTGGCCTCGGTTTCCCAGCTGTACAATGGAAACCTTAATTTCAACCTTAGTCTTAGGCTGTCGTGAATATCAAATAGTACAGCGCAGGAAAACAGCTTTCTCACGGTGCCAGGCTGCTAATTCCTCAGTGAATAGCAGCTGTCTCTCCCTGTAGGTGCCAGACGGATGTGCTGAGGCAGAGAGTACAATAAAATAGGACTCATCACTGGTAGGAAAGGAAAACAGTGCAGCCACTTTGGACAACAGTTGGGCAGTTCCTCAAAATGTGAAACACAGAATTCCCATATGACCCAGCACTTCCACCCCAGGTATAGAACAAAAGAATTGAAAACAAGTGTTCGCCCAGCGACTTGTAGAGGAATGTTCCCAGCAGAGCTAGTCACAACAGCCAGAAGGTGGAAACAACCCAAATGTCCATCAATAGATGAATGAATAAACAAATGCAGAGCCTCCATACAATGGAATGTCATTCAGCCATAGAAAGCCAGCCCTGGTGGTCTAGTGGTTACGATTCAGCCCTCCCTTCGTTGCAGCCCAGGTTCGCTTCCTGGTCAGGGAACCACATCACCTGTCCCTGGATTGTGTACTGTGGTGGCTGCGTGTTGCTGTGATGCTGAAACCTGTGCCACTGGTAGTATTTCCGATCCCAGCAGGTGGCCCACAGTGGACAGGTTTCAGCGGAGCTTTAAGACTGAGACAGACTAGGAAGAAGGACCTGGCCTTCTTCCAAAAAGAATGGCCATGAAAACCCTGTGAATAGCAGAGGAGCTATGCCTGACATTGCACCGGAATGTGAGAGGATGGTGCAAAGATCAGGCACAGTTCCACTCTGCTGTTCACAGGATCGCTAGGGGGCTGAATCGACTGGACCTCACTGAAAATAAATCAAACACAATGAAGCACTGACACGTGCTACAACATGGGTGAACCTTGAAAACATAGAGAATAAGAAGCTGAAGGTACAAGTTCACAGATTGCATGATTCCATTCCAAAGAAGCATCCAGAAGAGGTAAATCCATAGAGACAGAAAGCAGATTCGTGGTGTCCAGAGGTTGGGAGAGGAGGGAAAAGGGAAGGACTGCTTAATGGGGAAGGGGTTTCCTTTGGGTGATGAAAATGCTTTGGAACCTGATAGAGGTGGGGGTTGCATCATATGGTGAAGGTACTAAAGCCACTGAGTTGTTCACATTAACGTGGTTAGTTAAAAATAAACTCATAGAGTGAACTAACCCCCGCCTTCTCTTTAGGCATCCACAGTCTCAGTGGGGCCCCTTTACCTCTCAGAGTTGGCCGAGGCAGAGACAGGTAGATTCCCAAGCCTCAGTTTCATCTGAAAATGTGCCGGGGCGTCTAGCCTCCCTCTCTCACACGGAGAATCACTCGTGAGTCCCCTCTCCAGGGACGAGGGCTGCCAACATTTGGTGAAACCACTCAGACGTTCCTCTCTGCCTGCTTGTGGGTATACATTATTTGTAAGGTACATTTTTCAATGATGAATTAAAACATGCTGCTTTATAATCTTTTATTGCTTGGTGCTCTACTTTGACAATTTCTTTTTCATGGCAATAAATCCTCAACATCATTGTTCATGGCTGTGAGGAAGGATGAAAAGCCTGAATGTTAAGTGAGGCCATTGGGTTTTGAGGAAGCCACAGAAGCCCCTGAGGACACAGGGAGAGTGAGGGGGGGACAGATCACAGACCTCTGGCCCCTTGGCTGCACTGTGAGGTTTCTGACAGGTTAATATTCCACAGACTCATTAGGAATATTCAGCTGTACTTTGGAGCCCTCAGTTCTCCTCTTTTGATTCATACTTCAACTTTTGCTTAACATTGAAATGTGTCAAGAAAATATTGAAATGTACTGGAAACAATGCAAGGCATGCCACTGACTCACCACCCAGACTTCATGTTAGTTCAACTCTACCCTGTGGCCTTGTTGGGGCCCAAGATCCGGAACCTCAGCGGTTTCCATCCACCGCCCAGGATTCCAGTTGCCAGCTTTAGGAGGCTGCAGGATGGTATCTAGGGCCATCGTGATCTTTCTCTCCAAGTCTGGTCTTTCCCCAGCGTCCTCCTAGATGCTGTTGCCAGAGACCTGGCTGTCACCTCTGACCCCTTCCTCGTCCTCATTGCCCTTCAGATGATTACTAACTCCTGTCATTTCTGCCCTCAAAACGCACCTCCATGCGGGCTAGGTCTCACCATCCCCATCATCCCACTCTGCTCCAAGCCACTCTTTCTCTTGAGGACCTCGGCTAGCCCAGATGGCTCCTTTGTGAGTATAGATCAGGCATCCGCTTCACGCAGATGCAGCCCAATGGATGCACAGCTCAGTGGGCAGCAATAACAAAAGGTGCCTTTTCCTGTAGCTAGACTCAGCTTGTGCCAGGGCTCTCACCACTCTACAGCTTGGTGAGAAGAGTAAGGACCGATTTTAGTTCCCACCAGTCCTCCTTGGCCAGGCGCTCCTGTACAGTGAGCACCTTCACATCTGTGCCTGGGGCCCTCCATTTGTCTGGACCGCTGCCCTAGCCTCTGGGGATGTGATGTCTGCTTCCATTCCTGCCTCTTCCAATCCGTTCTCCACATGTAGCCAGAGTAACCACTCTGCCCCCCCCCCCACACACACACATACACAGAACCTACACACCCCTGGTTATGTGGATCACCGGCTAAAAGCATATCAATATCCTCCCAGAGCTCTTGGAATAGAGTCAAACTCTTTAACCTGGACCATAGGCCCTCATGGCCAGGCCACTGCTGCCCTCACCCTCTGCTTCCCTCGGTGGCCGTGTCACCATCTTTCCCTGAAAGCCTTGCCTTTGTGCAGCCTCAGAGTCTTCATGCCTCTGTTCCCTCAGCCTGAAATGCTCCCTTTCTCTCTGTCTTGCTCAGGCCTACCCCTCCTTCCGGTCTCTGCCCAAGGGTCCTCTCCTAGAAGCCCCCATTATACTTTCTTGGGGCAGCCAGCATATCTCCTGCCCAGGCCTTGTCACAGGTGTGAGAGGGGCCACGTGTCACCCAATCACTAAAAGCTTCTGAGCAGTTTCTTGGAGGGAACTACCTGTCTACCAAGCTTTCTGCTCTGTCCCGACTTCCCACACAAGGCCGGTCCCCAAATAAGCGTTGGATGTAGAACAAATGCCTGATTATGATGGTGATCGTGGCTTCAGGAAGCCATGAGAATATAAAGCTGGGGACTCAACTGGTCTGTGAGGTGAGGGCATGTGGGGCGAAATGAAAGCTGATTTTTGGAAGGGAAGCATCGCCCCTTGCTCCCCCCATAGCATGGACGTTTCATAGAGAAGTGATTTTCCTGTTTTGTGTTATTTTTCCCCGTTTCAGTTACTGCTACGTCTCAGTGCAAACTATTTAACAACTGTTCTGGTATAGGCTCTGAGAAATGACCAGAACCCACACCAGTACGCACTGTACCAGCACCCGTCAGCTCTGTCAACATTGTCAGAGCTGAAAAGGATGCCTGGCGCATAGCAGGAGCATCATACATAATAGTACCTTGAATGAATGAATGAATGAACGAACAAATGAACAGAAGTGGAGCCTTGTGAGATAAGTGCAAGGAACTGCAAAGGATCAATTTTTTGGAACCAGTGAAGCCTAGGCAGGGAGAAGCCCAGCTGTGAAGGACCCAATGTACCTAGCCAAGGGACCTGGACTCTGGCCCGTGAGCACAGAGCACAGGGAGCAGGGTGCATTCCCCAGGCCCCCAGGAGCTGAGTGGAGGGGCTGAGAGTAGACATCAGAGAGCACTGAAGGACCAGGTGGGCGATGCTCCAGTCCTGAACCACCATGGGTGGAGGGGTCTAGGCCGTCCACAAGAGCAAGCACCAATGAGCAGCTCAAGACCCTGCTTCCTCCCTCCAGACTAAATCCCTGATGATCACACAGGTGAATGGAGGATGCGCTCTCTGCTCTGTCACAGCCCAGCTACTTGATACTGGGTTGATGATTATCAAACGTCCAGGAGCCAGCCAATGAGGAGGGCATCTGGCACCTGTTCCCCAGAGGTGGAGCAGGCCCTGGACAGTCTCTCTTGGACGTTGTTAGGAGGCTGAGGGCAGTGGCCGAGCTGAGGACGCCTTGGGCACCCAAGGCTCTTGTGGGAGCAGGTGAGAGGACATGGGTGGAAGGACAGTGCTCTGACTGTGGCCTGGAGCCCCGGACCCTCCTCTGGCTCTCACGGCTGGGCCATTTTTGGTGTTTGGGTCTTATGCCACCACAGCAGCCTGAAAATATGCAGTCAAGGGGGCAGGAGCCTTTGCTGAAACTTGTGGTTTGAAACACAAGATTCTTGCAATATATGGTCCCTGGGTGTGGGACCAAGGAGCAGGGGACACATTGAATGTCTGCTGCCACCCAAATGAACAAAGAAGCTGAGAGCCAATAAAAGGGGAAGGAGGGTGGAGAGGAGCTTTGTATATGTTATTTCATTAAAACCTCAAAACAGTTCCAGAATGCAGGTTTTTATTTTACCTTGTTCTACAGAGGAGGAAACAGAGCTGGGAGAGATTAAGTGACATGCCCAAGGGCACACAACTTGAGAGTGCTGGAGCCGGGCTGAAATGCAGGTCTTTCTGACCCTACACATTCTCCCAGGGGCTCTGGCCTATTTCTTCTTGGGCAGAAGCAGAAAGATGAGCCCTGGAGCAGGGTCTCCCCTGTTCCTGGGAGATCTGAGAGATGGCGGTACTCACGTGGCTTCCTGTGTCTCCCCAGGGCTGCCAGGAAGGCGTGCAGGGACACCCAGCTCTCTCTCTGGTGGACTTGGAGACTCAGACAAGAAGGCTCCCATGGCTCCTTATCACATCCGCAAATACCAGGAGAGCGACCACAAAACGGTCCTGGCCTTGTTCTCCCAGGGGATGGCCGAGCACGTCCCCACCACCTTCCTCCACACCCTCAAGTTGCCCCGAACCCTCGTGCTCTTGCTTGGAGGGCGCCTCGCCCTATTCCTGGTCTCTGGCTCCTGGTTCCTGGCCCTCATGGCCAGCCTCACCCTCCTCACTGCCCTGTGGTTTCTGGCCAAATATTCCTGCACCCAGTTTCTAGTCAAGTCCTTGCAGACAGACTTGTCTGATGTCACAAAATCCGACTTGACTGAGCGTGGCTCCTGCTTCTGGATGGTTGAGGCCGAGGGGCAGGTGGTGGGCATAGTGGGAGCTCTGCGCATTAAGGAGCCCACCCTGGGGAAGGGGCAGTTGGAGCTGCTTCACCTCAGTGTGGCCTTGGAGCACCGTGGTCAGGGGATAGTGAGAGCCCTGGTCAGGACTGTCCTCCAGTTTGCAAGGGATCAGGGCTACAGTGAAGTCGTCCTCACCACCAGCATCCTGCAGCCCTCTGCTCTGACTCTCTACCAGAGCATGGGCTTCCAGAAGACGCAACAGTTCTTCTTCTCCATGAGCTTAAGGCTAATGGCTGTCTCTTCAATTCGTTTAACCTACCTCCTCCCCTCTGCTCAGGTCTCTCAGGGACCGGGGCAGGGAGGGGGCTTCTGATCTGTCTCCTGGTGGACTAGTCAGGGGAGGATCAGCTCTGCTGCAGGAACAGGCCAACCCTGAAATCTCACTGTGACAGCACAGGGGTCGCTTACTGCTCATTCACATCAGAACCCTGAATGGTTGCTCTGCTCTATTCAGTCTTTTTTGGGGTGCCAGTGTTTCATTATCTAGTGCCATAAGAATGTTGCCTAAAAAATCCCCACAACATAATAATAAACATGTCTTTGGCTCCTGAGTCTGTGGGTCAGCATTTTGGCTGGCAGCTCTTTTGGTCTCAGATAGCCTGTCCTCATGTCCTGGGTGGGTTGACGTGACAGAGTGACTGAGCTCTCTCCTTTTCCAGCAGGCCAGCCCAGGCATGGTTTTAAGGTAACGGCAGAGAAGGCAGAGCAAAGCAAAAACAAGCCAGTGCTGTTTGCAGCTTCTGCAGGTGTCTCATCTGCTGACATCCCAGACTCAGAGGAGTGAAATGGACCCACCTCTTTAGTGAGAGGAGCGCAAAGTCACCAGGCAGAGGGCCTGTAGAGGAGAAGGATGCCATCAATCCGCTATGGCCCCAAGGTCTCTGCTGCTGAAGGGGAAGAAGGCGGCCAGGGATACAGTGTGGGATGTTGACAGGGGCTGGACCGAGAAGAGGCACAACCCACATCCCACTGGCCAGACCCCAGTCTCGGGGCCCCAACATGCCTGAAGGGAGGCCGGGAAGGTGCGTGTCCAGGGAGAGTAAATGGGATTGGCAAGTTTCCCAGATCTGCCACACATGGGACCCCACCTCTGTCCCCAAATGCTCAGAGACTCCAGATTTCCCCAGGTGCCTCAGGCCTGACCTCTGGGCCCAGAAGCCTCTGACACAGTGGCCAAGTGTGCTGATTAAGCAGCACCGTGCACCCTTTCCCAACTTGGGCATCACCAGCACTGGGTGAGCCCCCCCGTGGTCTGGAGCCTCTCACCAGGTCCTCCAAACCAGAGGCTGAGTCCCGGGATCTGGTGAGTCCCCTGATGACCCAGGAAGTCCAGGTGCCCTTTCAGTCTGGTTTGTGTGACAAACAGCAGTATTTGGGGTCGTCTCAACCCTGGCAGTGTCCCTTGCTCACAGCTTATCTCCTAGGAAGGGTCAGCCAGGCCGCAAACCAGGCCAAGTCCTGCCAACTGGCACTGTTCTGGGCACATTACACCTGAATGTGGACCTGTCACCAAGTCATGGGACGGCTCCAAACATTCACGTTTTGTTGCCCAAGACCATGGGCCTCAACTCTGTCCCCTCCATTTTGTTCTCTTTCTCCCCAACCTTGGGGGTCCCCCACAGTCCCCTCTGCCAGGCCATCTACGTCCTCCAGGCCTGCTGCCTCTGCACCTTCCCCTCAGGCTTCTCAGAAAACCCC